GCCAAGTGCCTGCCTCTGTAACCTCCACCTCACGCACTCCTTGCAACCCCATAAAAACCTCCCTTCCTGGGCCTTCTAGGCCTGGCATTTTGAAGAACAATTGATTCTCAGCCAGTGACTGTCTGATGTTAAATAAATTAGCCCCCAAATCCTGGGGGCCGTTTGGTGTTTCTGTTTGCCATTGTAAAATCACTGTCCTATACGTTATCTCCTTTTATAGTAAATTAAAAGAATTCAGGGAATGATATTTTCATCCAAAATACTTTGGGATTAGTTTAAAGTTTTGTTAAAGTGCAGCACCTAATAGCATGACCTGTCCTTAAACCTTCAGTGGTTTTCTACTTTGGCTTTCATTGATTGTCCTTACACAGGGTTTCAAAACTTCTTCTGCAATTATCTCAGCATGCCCCACTGTATTTCCTCTCCTGTAACCAACAGTATCTGAGTCTGAATTTTTAAAACACATCAGGCTGATTTGCTGGGGTTTTTTTCTTGGATTCCCCAAAATCTGCTTTAAAACAGTTTAACATTTGAAAGAGCATTGCTTTAAATGAGTTTAACAGAAAAAAATTCAAGATAAATAAAACATGGGTGTATTAGTCAGCTTTAAATTGCTGGGACAAAGTACCTGACCTACGCAATGTCACAGAGAAGAGGTTTATTTGGCTCACAGTCTCAGAGGTGTCAGTCCACGGCCTGGCTCCTGGGACACCATGTCCACGTGGCAGAGTATGGCAGAAGGCAGCTGCCTACTTCATGGCAAACATAAATTGCATGTTACAACAAATCTTCTATATTACATCTTTTCCTCTTACAGGGAGAACCTTAACTAGTGATTCTTCAATCATTTCTTTTTCATTTATGTATTTGGTACAGGGTCTCACTATGTAGATCGGACTCATAGTGATCCTCCTGTTTTCAGCCTCCCCAGCACTGGGATTACAGGTGTGCGTCACCATGCCCAGACTCAGTCACCAGCTGGCTGGCATGCAGAACCAGGGATTGAACCTTGGTCCCTGCACTTGCCAAAGCAGGCACTTAGTCTGCTGAGCTATCTGGGTTTTTTCTTTCTTTCTTTTTTTTTTCTTTTTGTATTTTAGGGAAGGGTCTACAGGGTGTTCAGGGTTTCACTACTAGATCAGATTATCCGCCTGTTTACAGCCTCCCAAGAGCTGGTATTACTTAAAGGTGCATGCCACCATGCCC